AAGAGTGTAAGATGGAACCCGGATTGAAGTTGGAGAATGCTTTGATCAATGCATATGCAGCTTGCAACGAAATGGATGTAGCGGAAGGGATCTTCAAGAGTATGAAGATTAGGGATGTGATTTCGTGGACGTCTATCGTAAAAGGGTTTGTTGAGACAGGAAATCTAGAGCTGGCAAGGACATATTTTGATCAGATGCCGGAGAGAGACAATGTTTCATGGACAGCCATAATAGATGGTTACTTACGAGCTGGATTCTTCAAAGAGTCTCTAGAACTTTTCCGTCAGATGCAAAGCTCGGGTATCAAACCCGATGAGTACACCATGGTAAGTGTTATTACGGCTTGTTCCCATCTCGGTGCCTTGGAGATAGGTGAATGGGCAAAGACATACATAGACAGATACAAGATCAAGAATGATGTTGTTGTGGGGAATGCTCTGATTGATATGTATTTCAAATGTGGATGTGTGAGTAAAGCACAGAAGATTTTCAATGACATGATTAGGAAGGACAAGTTCACATGGACAGCTATGGTTGTTGGTCTTGCCAACAATGGCCATGGAGAAGAAGCGCTCAAATTCTTCTCCCAAATGGTCGTTAAGTCGATACAACCAGATGAGATAACTTACCTCGGAGTACTTTCAGCTTGTTCCCATACTGGAATGGTAGACCAAGGAAGAAACTTTTTTGCGAAGATGACCAGTGAACATGGAATCGAGCCGAGATTAGTACATTACGGGTGTATGGTCGATCTCCTCAGCCGAGCCGGGATGGTTAAGGAAGCGTACGAGGTAATACTTAACATGCCGATGAATCCAAACTCAATCATATGGGGAACCCTCCTCAGTGCCTGCAGAGTTCATAAAGATACACAGCTTGCTGAATTGGCTGCTGAGAAAATTCTCCAACTGGAACAGGAGAATGGAGCTGTTTATACTTTGTTATGCAACACATATGCAGCTTGTGGAAGATGGGAGGACTTGAGAGGTTTAAGAAGAAAGATGATGGAAAGAGGAATCAAGAAGAAACCAGGTTTTAGCTCAATTGAGGTGGATGGTTTCATTCATGAATTTGTTGCTGGGGACAGAACACATCTTCAAGCTGATGATATTTACATGGAATTAGAAGAAATGACACATGAATTGAAGCTTGCTGGATATTTACCCGATACGACTGAGGCATTGTTAGAATATGGGTAAAGAGAATTTAGCTACCAAAGATTGGGGGTTTGATTGATTCAGAAGACATGGATACATTTCAAGACCATACAAACTGAAAAGTGCTCAGATCCGGGTACCTGACTCAACCCGATGAGTTTGGACCTGGTGATGACGAAAACTCGGCCTTTCGGGTGTCACATGGCAAGAATCCACACCAGACCAATCTCCAAGTTCCGTGCAGACAAAGTTCAGAAGAGCTACACATAACTTACATTGACCATTTCAAATATGTCTGATTAGGATGGCAAAGAAAAGGGTCAACTCCATGTTTTGAAAAACTGAAATATGTACTCAGAATGTTGAGTGTTCCCCATTTATGTTTGCGCTATAGATGAAAGAGAGACAGCTCTGTAGAACAGGCCTATCTTCTCTCCATCTCTATATTCTTTCTACCCTCAAATTCCATTGCAAAAATTTAACTTTGAAACAACAGAACAGACAAACTGAGTGACTCCACGAGTGTGTTTACCTTCTCTCAAGCATCCTCCTGAGCCCTCGGGGAATTCTCGGGCGTCTTCAGATGAGCCGTCTCCACTGTTCTACAGTCCTTATATTGCATGACAACAGCCCGGAAATCGTCCAAGAAAACAGGATCCTTAAATTTCAGAGCGAATGTGGATAGACTGCCTTCTTTGCCTTCGCCCATACTATTCACGCATGCAAATGTGATTCCTTTCTTGTCCATTTTAGTGAGTTTCATCTCCGGGAAGAGACCTGCGTTTAGGATCAACCTGTAGTTTGCCCTTTGCCCTTTTCCATTACCACTGCTAGTGGAGACGTTGATCTTGACTTCTCCCTTCCCTCGTTCTTTCCATGTTCCATCAAGATATTCAAAAAGTACAGATTCGGCTGAGAATGCCACACTCTCGTTCTCTTCTCCTGTCTCCACAGAAACCTCTTCCTTTAATGGGAAGGCACTACTTTCACTCTTGGCAATAATGGAAGTACCAGAGGCAGCAAAAACGGGAGTGTTACCATTGTTTGAGAAGCCAAAACTAAAAGATGGATGGCCAGCCTGCTGTCCAAAGATAGATCCAGAACCAGTAGAACCCTCCTGAGACACCAATCCGAATGAGAATGAAGAACTAGAGAAACCCGTGCCAGCAAGTCCAGTGAATGCATTTTTGGTAGTTGAATGAAGTTGAAATGAGTTCAAAGCACCACCATCTCCATTCTTCTCCACATTTTCACTCCCATTCTCTTCCTATTCCTCATTCTTGGTCTGATCATCAGCAGATTCCTTTTCGCTACGATCACCAGTTTGGACTGTCTCCTCCTTAGTAGTATTACAGTTATCTGTCATGCTGTCTCCAGCAGCACCAGTAACTTTGTCATCAGGTCTTTTTCCAGGTTCAGTATCTTCAGGTGGCCGAATGCGATGATTCCTTTAGTCGTTCCGAAGCCCATTCTCTTAATCTAGAAAACCCGTGTTCTCGGGAAGCATCGAAAATCTTTTCCAACATTTGTAAGGTCGGATCGAACGGCATCATCCTAAGAAAATCCTCAAGCTCATCCATGCATCCATACTTACAGTAGAGCTCAGTCATGTAATGGTAATGCTCCACCTGAGGTATTACAAGATATCTTGAGCTCATCGAATTGAAATAGTGTCGGCCCATTTCTACATGGCCCTCGTGTATGCATGCTCGCAATACACCTTGAAAGGTCACATTGTCTGGCTTGATCCCTTCATCTTCCATCATCATGATCATCTCAAACACCTCTCTGCTTCCGCCATTATGAATACATCCAAGGATCATAGTATTCCATAGAACCAAATCCCGGAAATTTGCCTCTTTGAATACCCGGAGGGCATAGTCGAGGCATCGGCATTTGGAGTACATGTCAACCATAGCCCCGGTTATCACAGTGTCTATATCGTATCCGTTCCTAATCAAGAACCCGTGTATTCCTTTACCTAGTTTCGGAGCTGAAATGTTTGCACACCCGGCTAGGAGTGTTGCGAATGTAAACTTGCTTGGTTTTGCCTCCATTAGCATCCCTTCAAAGAAAGATATGGCTTGCTCACTCCGACCAAGTCGAGCATAGCTAGTCAATAGAGCATTCCAAGAGATCCCGTCCCTTGATCCGCTCATTTGGTGGAACCATATGTTGGCACTTGGCAAGGCTCCGCAATTCCCGTACATATTGAGAAGAGCATTGCCTACGAATATATTGGAATCAAAACCACGTCGGTAGATAAAACCATGTAGTTGTTTTCCCATTTCAACATCTGAAAGACCTGAACAGACGTTTAGAAAAAGCCCGACTGTGACATCATCACCAATGTTGTCGGTTTCTTTCCGCATCAAATAGAGAAAATCAAGTGCCTCGTCCCATTCACCAGCACGCACATATCCACCGAGCATTGCGTTCCATGAGACTACATTCCGGTCGGGCATTTCATCAAAGAGCTGCCTTGCCTCTCGAATTTTGCCACTCATTGCATACCCTGACATCAAACAAGTCCAAGATATCAAATCTTTCGATTGAGTCTGGTCAAATACCCTACGAGCACACTCCAATTTTCCACATTTCGCATACATATCAAACAAAGAGGTAGACACAATCCCGTCTGCTTCAAAATTGATTTTGATAGCAAGAGCGTGGATCTCTGTTCCGACATCAAGGGCCAAGGATCTCGAACAAGCTACAATTGCATTAGAAACCGTGTGATTCAAAGGTCTGACATTCAACTTTAACATTTCGAAGAAGATTCTCAACGTCTCCTTGGAAGAACCTATCTCGAGATACCGTCGTACAATCACATTCCATGAAACATCACTTGGACTTTTAATCTCATCGAAAACTCTTCTCGCATCGCCCATAACTTTGCACTTCCCATAAATATCAACAATTGCAGTTTTCAAAATCACATTCTCGGAAAATCCATTCTTTATAACAGCCCCATGTAGCTGCATCAAGACACCCAGATCCAAAATCAAACCACATGACCTCAAAACACTTGCAAAGGTATTCTCCTTTGCCCGAATACCTTCTCTATTCATCCTGCGAAACATACGAAACACCTCATCCGAAACTCCATTTTGCGCACAAGCAGTAATCACAGCGTTCCAAGACCCACCATCTCGTTCAGGCATTTGCTCAAACAGTTCTCGGGCATCATCCACGTTTCCACACTTCCCATAAGTCTCGATGGCTCTGTTCAAGAGGAAAACCGGAGGAAACGGAGAGAAAGTCACCAAGTGCGACTCCACCTTACGAGCTTCAACAATAGCGGATTTTTCAGAACAGAGACGGAAAAGGCGCTCGTAGAGCGAGTAGTCTACAGGTTCGAGAGAAGCGAAGAGGACCGAGACGGCTTTCGAGAGACAATCGGACTGAAGATGGACAAGGATTTGGTGGGTCAGGGACTGGGCAGGTCTGGGTGGGGTCGCGATCAGGGGTTTGTGGGTTGTGTTGCGTCGAAGAAAACGACCAGCGACAGATGCCATTTTTTTCCCGGTGGGTGTTTCCGAAAGAAACAGAGAACTTAGTGAAGCTCCATATCATCGTGTTCCAGGGAACATCATCTCTTCAGGGCATTTCGCCAAACACAATCAGGGCGCAGCAAAACAACTCAAAGGATCTGAAAATCGAAAGGGTAGCAGCGAAATCTGAAAGCCCATTTCACAAAAAACGAAAATCCAACAGATACGGCAAACAAATCCACAGTATGCCGAACAAAAGAAAATTACACGGCGGGAATCAGAACAACAGAACAGCCATATAATAGGATGTCCTAAGGATAGGAAACAGAAAAAGCCTTAACGACAGTGAAGTGAGAAGGAGGTTTACCGACGAGGAGAAGCCCTCGACAAACTCTCAAGCCGGAGAGAAACAGGGGAGAGAGACCCAGAAACTAGAAAGCACATGGAAAGAAAAACGATGAAAGAAAACCTTTTTTCCGCCTTGAAAACCGTTATGGCCAACGAAGATTGCGAGTTAAAACATGTGAAAATGTAAAATTAAATTATGTTTAGCGAAATTAGCTAAAATAGCATTTTTTCCAAATAAGAGAAATCAGTAAAATAAACTTAGTTTTAAACATTTTCAATGTTACTCTATTTCTTGTATTATGCTGAAAAAAATCAGAAGAGAAAAAGTTGAAAAAGATTTAGGTTTGACAATAGAAAATAAGGAAAAGATCGTAAAACTAACTAAATACATAATGGTAAGTTTTCCATAAAATCTATTTATATAAATTTACGAGGATAAACTATGTGAAATGAATAGAGAAAAAACAATGAGATACTGAAAAATAAATATTAATTAATCGAATTAAAAATACTAGGAAAAAGTTTTATGACAAATAGAAATCAAAGTATAAAATTGTAAGAGAATAAGTGGAATATATTAAATTTGATAGCGAATTAATATAACAGGCATGTTTACAATGAAATGAAAACCACCATTAAAATACTAATGAATCATATCCGACTACACAAAATTAGTTTTAAAAATCTCTAAAATACATTTTCAAACAATATTTAGATTTTAGGATAACTAATTAAATTTACCATAGAAACAAAAAAGAAAAGTGGAGGTGAAAATTCCTAATTACCAAATTTACCCCTCCTTTATTTTTTGCCTAATGAAAAGAAAACCCCCTTTCCTTCACTGTCCATAGTCGAATTTCCAATTGTTTTCTCCCTCGGTCAATGCTATGACAACCGAATCACGAGATATGAAAGACGAATTCTTGAATTTACACAGGGAGAACTCCGAAGATCTGGAACTTGATTCTGATACAAGTTTTATATACATATTCTAGTGGCAAATAATGAAAGCAATACAATGGTAGATGGGCAACTAATGCATTGAAATTGAATAAAGTCGGTTTAATTTGGTCCGGTTCAGCATGGTTCAGCATAATAATGTGGTCCGGTTCATATATGCATCAGAGAAATGAGACAAAACTCATTCTACAGAAGAAATGATGAACTTAAATCTAATCAGGAATTATATATATATATATACATTTATGACACCCAGTTCCAAAACTCGACCACATTACCTGTGGTAAAACCGAAAGAAGAAACCCACCAGTTCACAAGCACAAGCTCATCAATCAAAATCCAGCAAAAGAACGAGTCCTGTGGTTCTTCAGAATTTTTCCTTTCCGAAAGAAAGTAAAAAGTGCAGTAAAGAATCACCAGTAAGTATAAAACTCTAATAAACCAAGTGTGTACCTGTTATGCTGCTCTTTAGGAATTGTGGGTAAGATTTCATTGGCTTTTTCCAAATCACCTCGCATCACGAGAGTCTTGTACTCAATCAGGCTGCTCTTCTTCGATTATATATAACTGTCTTATTTGTTAGTTCATCAAGTAAAGGATGTGGTTCTTACCTTCAACTTCAAGTGTTGGAACTGCCCATTCCCAAAGCTGAAACTAGTGATGATGCCCTGTAAACTCTGTCAAGATCAACAGAAAAAAAAATGAAAGAGAGATGTCAGTTAGATGGATGATCCAAATAAGAGTTGGATAACCAGTGACCAAAACTGTTTATATCCTCCAATCCAGAAATAACCCTACCGACACATTTTTTTTCTATAATCTACATCTAACCAACACAGACACTAAGGTGTTATAAGATATGTTATGGTTTTGGGAAGAGATGATAAATTGATCACCAGAGACAAAATTTCGACTTTCTGCTAAATTAGGCTGATGGGTTTCCTTCGTTATTTGAATCCCACTCTTCGTCAGCCTCACTTCTGTTTACAAGCACGGCACCATCTGTAAAGTCGGTATGAGCAGCTCCTCCCTCATGCTGTTCCTGAGTCTCTCCTTCTTCATGCTCTCCTTGAGTCTCTCTTTCTTCATGCCGTTCCTCTACATCCACTTCGTTCTGTTCATTCCCATTTTCTTCTGCTACCTGTAACAAGATAAATGAAAAAAGAAAAAATCACAAAGGTTGATCCAGAGTGATATAAACTCACATGTTTCAAGGTAAGGTTAACCAAAAATCAATGCAAATAAACCAGTTATTTACAGTGTTTAATCTCCAGAATACAAAGGTGGGTCACAACAGTAGAGGAATAAACAAACTATTTGTACACACTGTGCAACTGCATGAAATTTCACAACTTGGATGGAAATCCGTGACATATGTAACCAAATTACAGCTGAAGAACTTGCCTCATGATCGACATCTCCATTTTCAAGAGTTTCCTCTTCCTCAATTTGCATGTTTCTAAAGGCTTCCACAAGTGTTATGTGGGAGTTATCAGCATGGCTTGGATAATTCTCCGCAGCTATATAAACTCCCCTATAGCAAAGTAAAAGAGTCAAATTTGTCAATCTACTGTAATGTGCCCATCAATGAAATTCTTTTTAATATAAACCGCCTACATGAACTGATTCAACACGCATGATGTAAAACAATCAGTGCTAAAAAAAATGTGGTAATGGTATGTGTGCTTATCCAGTGACAATATGGTAATAATCATGTCCAAACGTTCAGGAACAGACAAGAATTGAAAAAAGTGTTCAAATAATACCTCATCTCTGCGGCTTTTTCTTCAACCGAAAGAGCGATTTGCCAATCCTCAAAAAGATTTGGGTACTCTACAGGGTCAGCCAAAGATTCTGCTGCTTTTGGATTAACCTGTTCACACCGCTGATGCAACTTTAAACCATACCTTTTCTCCTTGACCTTAGTATACCAAAACGTAAGGAAAATAACCTTGCTAAGATCTTTCCTCCAAATTCCAATTATCTCAGAAACTTTGCTTGGAAGATAAGATCGTGCCATCAGAGCAGCTTCTGGTACCCGATTGCTGCAGGGGAAAAACATTTTATTGATAACACCAAGGCACTTGAAATTTGACATTCAAACTAAGAAGAAGCAGCAAGAATTACCTCTCAATCAATAACTGCAGACAATCTTCCAATTTACCCAGCATGAACAAGCAAAGAAAGGCGACATTGTTCTTCCCCTTCTCTTTAGCAAGAGATGCAAGTTTTGAAATCCCTTCGACATCTCCCAGAGAAGAATAGAACAGCAATAAGCCGCTCAAATCCATCGCATATTCCATGCAATCCTCTGCCATTTGCAACTGCCGTGATGGAACACGTACAATCATAAAAAAAAATCACTTGGAAATGTACATCAATGATACGAAGCAACGAGTGTAGATGCAGGAATCTTATAGTTATTTCAAGATGATCTACACATGAACTCCTTTCTAAATACAACTTGATGTCACTGGCCGAAAAGTCTTTTTCCATTTACAATCACAAAACAATAGTACAAAAATGTGAACAGAGAACATACCTTTCCAGAGGACATGGCTAACTGGCCTAACTGCTTCCATTTAGACTCGCTCTGCATTTCTTGAGCAATTTCCTGCAACCATGGAAAGCAAGAATATGTAACATGGTGCTAATTCCAAATTAATCGAAAAGTAGTTCCCAAAACTGATCATCATGTATCATGCTACCTTTGCAATTTCAAGCCGGCCCAGTTGTATGGCCAACTCGAATCTGTAGTCTGGGTCTGTTGCAATTTCTAAAGCATCTTCAATCATACCCCGTGACTCCAAGAAATGAGCGACACTAAGAATTGGAAACATTTTCAAAATAAGCTTAAAAAAAATAAAAATGATATACCCTTTGGTAGCTATCTATCCGTTTTGGTTAAAGCATTAAACTAAGTGTAGTCACAGAGACATCTACAGACACAAAGCAATCACATGATCTACCTAGAAACATGGGAAAGGTAAACTGGTCATCTACCTATTATGGTGCTCTTTAGGAATTGTGGGTAAAACTTCATTGGCTTTCTCCAAATCACCTCGCATCACGAGAGTCTTGTACTCAATCAGGCTAAGCAGTAGGATATATCCGATAACACTGTATTATAGAGAACAGGTGTACATCAGAAACTTTTAAAACAAATTAAAATAGTCTGAACAAAATACAGAAAAGGCTAGGACACTTACTTGAATTCTTTGTCAATCAAGAACAAACGACTTTGATTAGCAAGATAACCTAACAAATACATTGGGCGGTCTAAATGGTACATTGTGGTCACCTGTTAAAAGATAGATGGTTAAGATGATGCTCATTCATAAAGACATAAAATTTTTTGAAGTTATCAAGACACATTGGAATACCTCGCCTCCGATACAGTAGTTAAGCCTCCATGAAGAATTATTGTAAATGAAACAGTCACCAACCCATATACCTGTCCTAACACGTTCATCATTTTCATGGAGAACCTCAAAAGCATCCTCGATACCTTCTTCATCAGATGGCCTTGCACTATCAAAGTGCGAGGAAACCAAGTCTCGCTAAACAGTAAGGACAACACGAGTAAGCATTCAACATATGGTGAGCGAATAAAAAACATAGTTATAGATCAAAGAAAGCTTATGTGTACAAATCCAAAGAGCTTAAACGATTTTGAGGTTGGAAAAGATTCTCACATTGTACTTCAGAATGTAGAATGACGTATCACTAGCAATGGCTACTAAATCGCCACTGTCAGCCCAATAAAGATTCTGCGAGTGGTTCATGGCAACAATGTATTAATAAAGGGGAGAAACGGGCACAACAACTGAAAATAATGTGATTGATATTGAAGTCCAAAAGTAAAACTAATGCAGATTTCTACCTTTACAGTGACGTCAATCCGTTGAATTAGCCTACATTCAGCCCAATCATAAAAGCAAATGAAATCATTTGAACACATAGCTAATAAGGTTCCTCCAAAAATCTTCTCAGTTGAGAAAGTAGGCCGGACATTCCGCTTTTCCTGAAAGCATCACATCTGTTAGTCACCATGTCCGGCAATAGCTATGCCAACGCAAGTATTTAAAACTTCTCCAAGACTAGAGAAGCATGCTAACTTCTGACATAACTTAGAGAAGCCACAAAATATCAACACACCTGGAAATTTTTGCTGAAAATCTTAATCTTTGACGAGCTTTCTCTAACTGCGTATTCCCCTTCAGATGACCACACAAATTCTAGTCCAGAACCAAAAGACCTGTTTCTCCAAGCCAAAGATGTGTAGATTATGTACTCGCCATCACCGCAGACAACGACAAACCTTCCATTAGGATTGTGCTTCAAGCTCTAAGAGTTAGAACAGCCAAACGTGAGGGGCATTATGGTAGAGACATCAATCCAGAAAGATACATGTTTGTGTCACAATCTTAGGATGCCATTAATTTCTTAAAAAGTTCAGTTTTGCCATCTATTCCCGTTTCAAACATAACTAGTTGTTTAAAGAGCAGAAAAAGCCTCAGCTGCAGGTGAAAGTAAACATGTCTATTTGTAGGAAACATGCTCATTGTACCCCCCAAAAGTAGGATATGCACAGAAACCGTTTGCCCCAACAACAGATTATGAACTATTTCACAACATTGCCTAGAATTGCAATAGTGATGCATTATAAAACTCACTTGTGGATAAAGATCACAGGTTCCCAATTCTTTAACAGCCAAGGGCAATCTCTCACCATCGGTAACCTACAGTAGAAAAACAAAACTTGAAACCATCATGCATAGAAATAAAAAGTTTATGTCTTGGCCAGTCCTGCCATGCCACAATATAAGAGTTACAGTTACGACCAAGACCTCAAGATCTGCACTAATACTTTTGATGTTCGTAGTTTGAATTTCGTTATGCTTAGCCCATATGATTTTCCCGCTAGAGTCCATGCTAGCAACTGGAATTTCTCGTCCAAGTTTAACCATGATGGTTCCTTCATCATACCCAATCACAACCCTGTAAAAGAACAAACACAAAAAAACCACATTGATGGTCCTATAGGCCCAACGAGATAGAGAACTAAAATCAAGCAATACAGAGAGGCCTCAGCAGCTATTGAAAAGTAAAAGTACCCTAATCTTTAAAAATCATCAAACTCACAGTGAAATAAAATTAACCGTAAACATATACAAAAGAAATTCAACAACATAAGCAAATATCAGGCAATTGTTGTTGCACTAGCCACTATCTATTAAGAAGAACATCTACACCTGAAAACCAATCCTAACAAGCATTGATTTAGCAAGAGAAAGCAGAGGGAGCAAAGTTTCCAAAAATCACCGGCGTGAACCCTTCATGTAACTGACAGCCCAAACTCTCTCGAGGCCATAATTCAGTGTGTTCTCTAGCCTGCAAGCAAAGACAATTTTCTTAAAAATATTTATTTTGGGACTATAAATAAAAGAAAGGGATATAAAAGGATCAGGTGAAAAAGTGTAGGAAAAAGAAGCTCTATACTTAGCTCCTATTGGATATTCAATAAGCAGCAAAACCTCACATTGTTGTATTCTAACAAAAGCATGTTTGTATCTCAATTCTCAAATACCTGTATGTGGTGGCATGCCATATGCGAACGGTGCCATCCTCAGAACCTGTAATTATAATTGGAAGCTCGGGATGGAAACAAACTGCAGAGACATTGTGTGTGTGCCCTTCCAGAGTCTGGACACAACTTCTGGTTTGATAGTCCCAGACCTGATTCCCGGAATTAATTAGTAAATGATGAAATTACATCATATCCGTACAGGTTTTATCTCAAAAAAGGACATTTAAGTGGAAGCAAACCTTAGCTGTGTGATCATCAGATCCGGTAATTAGGTAGGGCTTATCGCCTCCTGTGAAATATTCTACACAGTTTACTCCTTTCTGATGGGCGTCGAGTGTAAAATTCGGGTCTGGGGAACCAAGATTCCAAATCTGGAGGCCAAAAACCACATAGAAATTGGATGAGTGAACACTTTTGAGCATCTTGAACCATAAACAAGCAAGCCACTGTGGACATTTTCCCACCTTTATGGTACGATCAAGTGAAGCACTGGCAAAAGTGTTAGTGTCTTTTGGATTAAACGTCACTTGCATCACATAGTGGGAATGTCCCTCGAATATCTGAGTACAAGCCCAACCCTTTTCCCAGTCCCAAAGCTTTATGAGCATATCATCAGAAGATGACAGCACATACGGAAGGGTTGGGTGGACAGCCACACACCTAATGTAATCCGTATGAGCCTCAAAAACTTTAATCTTGTCCATTGTATTGTAATTGTATACACGAATATACATATCATCAGCTCCTGCCACAACCCATTGTTTGCGTGCTACAAACTTGGCTGACCTAACTGCACAATCACATATAAACTTCAGAAAAAATAACAAATAGATAAGGCAAGCTAAAGCTCTGTAACATAAAATGAAAAAGTGGAAAGCTGATATACCTGGTAATTCGGTCATCTCAAATGATTTTGCTACCGTCTGGCATTATCATGGTAGATTAGAGTTAGGGTAATCCATAAACCTTTCAACAGGGCCTTAAAAACTTACACGGAAAAACTTTGAAACCTCGCAGAATGCATAAAGCAAAGATATTTTTACTTGTAATATTGGTCATTCCATATCACAAGCTGCTTGGTGGAAGATAAAAAGCACAAAAGATGGGTATACACCATACCTGTGTCTGGTAGTTCCAAATACACACCGTTCCAGAATACAAACTCGCCAGAATCCTGTACCAATCACAACATTTCACATCCATTCAATCCCACCAGAAGAAGATGCAAACGTAAAAGAAATAGAACTAATCATAGTTCTACAACAGAAGTCTACTCAAGTCAAGTGAAGGACTAAGTTATTTTTTCATCGCTATAGCCAAAAAATAACATGAATAAACATAAGTGGACATCATTTACCATGGTTCTGTTGGATGCAGGTCCACGGACTTTACTCTCTCTGATCGCTGAGCAAATTTCCTCTGATGAGAAAATACAAGCAAATCAATCCACGCAGCAGACAACCAACGACAAGGAAAATAAAGAGTTCTCTTTTACAGAGTTTGGAATAAATACCTTGATCTCAAGTCTGAGCGGCTGTTGCAACAAAAAAGATGGAAAACACCGGTCAGTACTAAACCAAACGCAAAGCTCTTAGATTGAAAACATCGAACTTGTGTATGTTGTCTGATTTCAGGAGGGAATATTTTCGAATCAATAGTTTACTAAATTATCTTTCCGTTCGCAAAGATCAAACACCCAATACGAAACATAATCGATGATGCAGCCAAACCCACAAAACACAAGATCGTCAATCTTCAAAATCTATGATCCTGTCTGATTCCATAAAGAGAATGCAAGAAACTACACTCAATTTCGCGAAAACCACAATAATCAGCATCAACAAAAAGACGGCCACAGTTCCCAAATTCTTCGCATCAGATTAAACAAATCAGAAACAAAATCAAACGGTTCGCGATTACAGGAACTCACGCTCAAATTACGCTTAAAAACAAGTGAAAACGAAGGAATCCAAATCGAATCAAAACATATACACATAGGATCTGAAGAAACAAACGGGAGAGTGCACTACACACCATTTTTTCGGATAAAGATTCGCAAGAAAGACGTTAAGCTATTCGGATCTCGTATCTCGACCAAATCTGCAGACCGGAGATCGAAGGTAGACGTTAGGACGAGCCCTGTGAAGAAATGAGGCCGAGGCAATCGAGAGGAAGAAGAACGATGCTTTCGAACTGTGCAACGACAGTGCCACTGCGCTTAGGGGCCTCCCTTCGAACTTTTTTTCTTCCGCTCTTTGTTTTGGAACATTACAAGCCTTTCATGATGTCTTATTTATATTAAAATTATTTTACAAAATATAAAATAATCTATACAAATCATCTAGGCCCTTAGAATTCAAATTCGAATTTTTACAAACGGTTGGTTAAAATTCAAGAAGATATACATGTAAATAATGAATACCTAAAAAGCCACTCGATTTACCCCTTACATACATTTTATGCCAAAACTCTTTATTATCAGCTTATGGTTGATACCCGGTTTTTAATTTTATACATTTTATTATCGTTAATTATTCTAATTTCTTATTCAATTACATATGTAAATACTTTTATATAACATGCCTGCCTACTAAACTCTATATAGAAATATACATTTTTTTAGACATATTTTTATATGTAATCTCAAAAGGAAAAAATTGGCACCTACAAATTTGATATTAATGCGAGACACGTAATGGGCTTTCCCGGTATTCCGGAAGATGTAGTTGGTAAAAAGGTTCGGTGAACTTTCGAATTATAAAAAAAAATTATAACACCTAACATTACACCACCGACACGTGTCATATATACATACATTGATAGACGATATTGAGTTATGAGTTCTGAGACAATATCAAAATACCTGTAGTTTTTTTCTTTTTTTTTTGAAAATTAAGAAACGTGAATTCGAAAATAATGGAACCAAAATCCGAAAATGTCTCTAAATCCTCAAGATATGCAACATTACATTCAACTGAAATCTCTTTCTTAAATAGTTTCGTTAAGGTTACATCACGTGATTGTTGTACGTAACCATCGCCTTCTCCCAAGGTTCTTTGCTCATTATCACGTGATTACCAATAATTAATTAGCATTATACCCGCAATAACTAAAAATCCCTAGTTGAGTAATGCTAATACTGCGTACTCTACGTCATGATTCCATCATCTTTCATTACTTCGCGGTTTATTACTTTATTATAGCACGTGAATGACACCACCTAGGAGTTGACATTCTGGTTTAAATCTGCATTCCGATTTTAAAATTCAACCGAAATTCCTTCGACCTGAATGAGATAAACTAAAGCTGTAACTAAACCGGTTCCTACCCTAGCTAAACCGGAAAAACAACCCCTAACGTCACCTTGACGATTTAGAAAGAGATTTTACAATAGTTTTTCTAATTACTCTCATTTAGAATTTTATATTGGTAAACAAATAAGGATACATTTTATTTGGACCATCTTATTCGATGAATTCCACTTGAATTAGGTTTCCATATATATTTCTACATGCGGGTTGTGCTAAAATCGATAGGATTTAACATTGAAGATTGGATCATGTTCTTATTCAGATTATGGGCAGCTATAAGGTTATAGTATTAGATTCATATATCCCTATACAACTGAAATTAATCGTAATTATATACATCAAATCATATAAATTCAGAAAAATTTTGATAATAATTGCATATATCCTCCCAGTAAAACCAAAACATTTTTTATTGTATTACTAATACGTTACTACATTTATTTTAGATTTGCTCCTTCCATGTTTCTGTAACAAAACACACTCACAAAATTTAAAAAAAAAACCAATTTTAATGATGGTAGCTAATTACTTATCGTAAGTATGAAAAACATTCAAATAATCAACAGATCAGTGTGTTATCAAAAACCCTAGAAGGAACAGCAAATCTAGCAGAAAAAGACCGAGAGAAAGCATCGGGATCGTCTTGTCCGAAGACGGGATCTCTCTCGAAGTTCTGAGAATAAGTAAAAGGGTTATACGGAACATGAACATGAACTCTGGCATCTGAAGAACAACGAAAGAACTTTCTCTGCAACATCAAGATCTTCCTCCATAGCTGTCTCCACTTTGATCTTGAAGAAGACTCGCCATCTTCAGAGAGATTGAGATCTATCCGATCATAACCTGTTTTCAGACGGCTTGGAATCTCTGCTCCTGAGTTGCATAACTTTGCGATGTCCATAGAGTATCTGAAAGACATGAAAGAACAACAAAAGACTTTGTGATGTTCTAGAATTTTTTTTTTTTGGATCTGTTTGTTTGGGGTTGATTAGTTGGGTATATTTATACAGAAGATCTGAGAATTTGGAGTCAAAGGAATCAAAGAGAGTCTTGGGGAAGTGTGAGAATATTTTTTTTTATGAATCATGTAAGGTCATTATTGTTACAACTTGCTCATGCATGTGTATGGTACATATTTTATAATTTTAATATTGAAAAAATGTATTAAAAGGGTTCGTATAGTATTCAATAATGATTATGGAAGTTGGCAGGTTATTAATACAACAGAATTATTACGATATGTATCTTATGTTTTGAAATTTGATACGTCTCTTCCTTACCTTATATCAACCGAAATATCACATAGATCACTTGGATTCTAGTTTTTATTTGATTTGATTTCCTTATATGCAAAGAATAGGGAAATGTAGAAATGCAGTCAAATTTATCCTGGTAGTTTCTTCAAAATTTGAGTCCGAATTATATTCCAATGTGATGTAATTTAAAAATTATATACATTTCATAATCTATTTCGTAAAAATATAGAAAAATTAAAATTGTTAATATCACATCAAATTAAATTGAATTGAACAATATATTATCGTTTCGATCCATTTTAGTATAATCTGAATATAAAAATAGAAAAATATTAAATGAAAATAGATAAGTTTATTCAAATCAAAATAAAAATTGAATCAAAATATAAACTAAATTATGTATTTTTATAAAACAAATAATTAGAATTATGCAGTGGAAAATAAAAATAGAGATTCGCTGAAAAAAAAAGAAATTAGGTGATGTGTCCGAAATTAGAATTAGGCAGATTGGATAATGGATTTTTAATACCAACTAGGTGAAAGACCCGCGCGATGCGCGGGTTATTCTTTATTATATTTCGATTATATTTTAAAATATGTTGGTATATAATTTAAAAATTTTAAATAAATAATTTATTTAATATAGGAGAAAACTATATCTGTAATATAAAATTGTTGTAAAATCATCAATATTCATTATATGGTTCAGATATGTGTCTTTGTCTACGATGTATATGTTTGATATCTTTTTTATAAAATTTGTTAATATAAATATTAAAAATGATATTAATTATTTGTTAACGGACAAAGAATGTATTGGTTAACGGACGCTAAAAAACATATTGCTAAACTTAATTAAAACATTGAATTTTTATATTTAATATTAAATGGAGAACAATTTCTTGATGACGACATGACTCGTAAATTTAATCATTTTATTGTGATCAAAACTCTAACCATATATATCATAAAAAAAATTCAATTTTAAACTCCACAGATATATTTTTTATTTTTTTTGTATTTTGATGAAACTGATAATTTTTTTGTTTGACAATACTGGCAAGTAATTATATAAACATATCCATAATTTTTTCTTTGCAATATTACAAATAATATCATCAACCTTTTCAACAAAAATATTTTTTGTAAAATAATACGAAATTTATTATTCGTTAACTTGTTTATATTTGTGTTTTACAATCTTAAATCACTAAAAAGAAACATATCTTATAGTCAATGATTGGATTCCAACCTAACTAAACCCTCACTAATCAAATGTTTTCATAATTACCGACGGTTCCATCAATTTCAATTGTTTATGTGTTCGTTATATATATATTTACACCATTCTTTTCAATTTATTTTTTCGCCATCAATTATAATATATGCAAATCTTTTACAAACAATATTTTAACAATACAATGGTATACTTTGTCTTATTCCACGACAACGCATAATTCATCTAATTTGAATTTTGCGATTTGAACGAACTTCAAATAATACTTTTGGGTACTTGTGTAATTTCATTAAAAAATAACGCAAAAATAAAATGAGAAAAGAGTCGATAATTACCTTGTATTTTAATACAAATTTATTCGTGAATTTTTTTATATATAACAAAAAAAATTGAAAATTAAAAATTGTGAAAAAAAGATATTGTCATTTATAATGTTTTAACTCCACCTAATTTTGGAATTTATATTGATCACCAAAATGATTCTTGGTTATATATTTTGTTCTCGAATTTGAACACAAACCAATAGTGTATCTCAAGAAACGACATGAATATCATTTGCGCTAAAAAACGTTAAAACATATAGTATCAAAAGTCAAATGTAAAACTCATTGAAGCCGTCTTTGGCACGTTTGTAGTACTTTACACATTCTCGAATTTCTTCTTAGATTCTTTGACACTTCTTCTATACCTAAACTCAACCATTTTTCCGATCATTCATCAAGAATCCATATAAGATATATACCACCATGTACATAAATATATATGTATATATGTGTGTCTAGAAACCCATTCACCAAGAACACACACACACATATATATATATATAAAGACATGTATATGTATAAACATATGAGTTCCTAGATAAATATCGTGAGTAATAGTTACAACAGTTTGAAAATGAAAATAATAATCCTCATATAAGACTAACATACATACATATATACATTATACATGTATGTATATATACAAGTGTGTTTATATATATGTAGTTTTGAGTAGTAACAAAATAAATACGGAGATTTATTCCCATATAAGAGAGGCTAAAAAACAGAATTTCTAAAAGTTTAGTCCATCTCCAAATTTATCTTCAAGAGAGTCAAAGTCTACGGCGGAAGCCACCGGATTATTCCTTCTCCACAATCGGAGACTTTGGAAATATTACCGGAATCCTCCAACTTCACATCTGTCTCCACTTCTCTAGCCATGACTACCACGACGTAGTTTTTTGGTATTTGGTTTGAATCCCCCAACATATATATATATATATATATATACATGTAATATATGTTTAATTTGAATTTTATTACATCCAAATTGTTTCTATTTTTTTTATTGAAGATAATATAAAGAACTTAAGAACACTACTACAACATCGAAGATAATGTGCGTGCAAGAAAAGAAAAACATTATAAACAATCGATTTCATTTGAAGATAATAATATATTCACTAATCTCTCTACCAACATTTTTTCACAATGGATTTATTCATTTTATGATCTTACATACATTTTAGTTTGATATTTTGAATTAAAGAGTATTTAAATATATTTAAATAGGATATACATAATCTTTTCGGTTTATTTTTATATAAAGTATTTTTAATATATAGTCATAGATATAAATAATACATATTTTAAATTTTTTTCTCAATTGTGATGTAGTTTCTTGTATTAGTTTAATATTTGAGAGATATTTATCAGTAAGTCATAAACTTTAAATATTGTTTTTAATAACCATTTCAAAAACATATAGACTTGAATATACATTATACATTATACATTTAAAATCTAAGTTTATATATATTTTTTGTTATTTGGCAATAAGAAAATGTGAAATCAAATACTAAATTAATAATTAAAAGGAAATTTCAAAGAAGAAAAGAAAAAAAAAAGGAGATGAGAGACATAAGATGCTTAGACGTTTCTATTTCATTGACTCTCTCCCTATATTCGTTCACAAAAACACGAAGCTCCTCTCCTCTCTCCTCTTACACAGAAGGCTATATCCATCACATTTCTCCATTTTGCCCCTCCTCACA